GTGGGAGCGGATCACACATGACTCACATGCGTGTCCTGCAGGAGGCCTGGGGTCTCATGGGGGGGCAGATCATACGTGACTCGTGTATCCTGCAGGAGGCCTGGGGTCTTGTGGGAGCGGATCACACATGACTCACATGCGTGTCCTGCAGGAGGCCTGGGGACTCGTGGGGAGCGGATCACACATGACTTTTGTTTTCTTAAGAGCTCCCATCTGAGCACATGATGGAGGCCTGGTGCCTTCAGCACACCTTCCATGTGTGTGTGTTTCTAAGTACTAACCTGTTACTTTCTCATTGTAAAGAAGTCATGGGGTCTGAAAAGTAAGTTAAAATGAGTCTCCAGGCCGGGCGCGGTGGCTCACGCCTGTAATCCTAGCACTTTGGGAGGCTGAGGTGGGTGGATCACCTGAGGTCAGGAGTTCAAGACCAGCCTGGCCATCATGGTGAAACCCCATCTTAAAAAAAAAAAAAAATGAGTCTCCAGCTGCTCAGCACTGGTCTTCACACTGGCGAGCTTTGTGAGCTCCCTTCCTCGTTTCCTGGATGCTCTAGTGTGCATGTGACTGTGGATTACGAACACAGAATCAGGCATAAGCACAGCTTACTTTTTAATCTCACAGTGTATCAGGCTGCAAATAGGAAGCGGTCTCATTCTCAGCCACATGGCGCTCCGTTTCGTGAATGTTTGATCGCTCATGTAGCTGACGCCCCTATGTTTCTAATCCTCTGCTGTTGTAAGCATGGCTGCCTCAATAGATTTGTCTTTGTGCATCTGTGTAAGATTGCTTCTTAGGAAAGCCAGTTCCCAGCAGTGGGACTGTCAGGTCTGGGGCTCTGTGTTGAGGATTCTGATCGTCTGTCCAGAGGGCCGTTGATTCACACACCTGCCAGGGTGCTGGAGGGGCCATTTCCATCCTTCCTCACCTGTACCAGATCTAACAGGTTTAAACCTGTGCACATGTGATTGGATGGGAAACATCTCATTTAGCGTGCACTTATGAGATTTCCAGTGAGTGCTAAATGCTGGGTCTTGTCTCTGTCCTTGGACACTCCCTGCCTCTGTGCAGTTTCAAAGTTCTGGCCAAGGACCGGTCCAGCACCCTGGGCCCCTCAGGCTTTGTCTGTGGTTTGCGTGGCCGGAGCATCTTACATTAAGCAGCAGTGATGTGTGCTGTTTCTGTTCTCCAACTTAATTGATATTTATGAACGCAGACGGTTGTAGTGGGGTTGGCCTCTCAGGAACATCCCGTCTGTCTGTCAGATCTAGACCCACCTTCAGAGATGCCTTGGGTCCTGCAGGACGTGCATTGCTGGACTGTGCCAGCTCCCAGTTACAGCCCTGTTTGCATGGCTCAGGGAAAGGGCATCTGCAAGGCAGCCGGTGAGACCCCGAGGACTGCTGTGTTAGACAGGGACCCTTCCTCCCCGCTGTGGGTTTTGAGTGGACATTATTAGGAAGAGGAGAGCAGAGACGTGCCTGGGTTGCAGCCTTGTTCCCTGCCATATTTTCTTCTATTTGGATGTAGTTCCTGTAATTATCACAGTCAGTGTCTCTTCCTAGAGAACCGAGAGCTCAAATTTGTCAGCAAAATATAGAGACCAGAGGCACTTACAGTCTAATGCATATGGACAAGGAACTGGATTTCAGCAAATCTGGGGAATTGTGACGCCGGTTAGAAGGAATGCAGGGCCAGGTGCTGTCCTGGAGGTGCTGCAGGTATCACAGGTTGTGGCTTTGAAAACAGCTGTGGTGTTTTAGCATGGCCCGTTTTTCTTCCAAACAGTCGTAAATGTTTTTAAATCTGTAGAGAACATTCTAGAAGGGGTCACACCACGTGTTCACAATGGTGACCTCTGGGAACTGGGGTTAAGGCGTTCACTTTTTTGAGATGGAGTTTTGCTCTTGTTGCCCAGGCTGCAGTGCAGTAGTGCAGTCTCAGCTTGCTGCAACCTCTGCCTCCAGGGTTCAAGCAATCCGCCTGCCTCAGCCTGCCTAGTAGCTGGGATTACAGGCACCTATGACCACACCCCGATAATTTTTGTATTTTTAGTAGAGACGGGGTTTCACTATGTTGTCCAGGATGGTCTCGAACTCCTGACCTCAGGTGATCCACCCGCCTCAGCCTCCCAAAGTGCTGGGATGACGGACGTGAGCCACCGCATCAACTCAGGCTGTTCACTTTTTTATAGTCTTCGACAAAGTCTGGATTTGTTTAGAATGCACAATTCCTAGAAAAATTAGGAGGTGAAAAAGAGCTTTTACTGGTCGGCAGGCAGCTGGCTCCATTTGTGGGGCAGGCAGCATGTGGGAAAGCGTATCCTCCATGGGGACCCACCCACAGCTCTGCCTGCTGGATGCCCTGGACCCCGCGTCTTAGCTGAACCCACAGCCCTAGCTCAGAGTGGCTTTCAGGGTGGGGCTGCTCCAGCTCTTACCAGGACTCATGGCTTCTAGAGACACCTTCCTGAGGGGAAGGCTTACGCTGTTCTCCTCCTGCCTTCCACCGTGTGGACAGCTGTACAGAGGGCCAGGGTGTGGGCAGTGTGGACAGCAACCGGCTCGGTGCTGTGGGGGTGGGCACTGTCGGAAAGCCACCTCCCATAGAAAGAGGCACCGTGTTTGGACGGGTGCAGAGGTGGGAGGCAGCTTTTCCCCAGTAACATGTCCCCAGGGGAGGGGCCTCACAGCCCACTCAGCGCTGTCCCTGCAGGTGCAGCAGGAGCGGGATGAGCTCTACCGGAAGTTCACTGCTGCCATCCAGGAGGTGCAGCAGAAGACCGGCTTTAAGAACCTGGTGCTAGAGCGCAAGCTGCAGGCCCTCAGCGCTGCCGTGGAGAAGAAGGAGGTGCAGTTCAACGAGGTGCTGGCGGCCTCCAACCTGGACCCTGCGTCCCTGACGCTGGTGTCCCGCAAGCTTGAGGTAGGCCCTTGAGGTGAGCTGCCCCAGTGGGCCGCCTCTTCCCCATGGCAGGACCCTTCCGTTCCGTGCTGTGCCTCCTCGGACAGGCACAGACCCCTCGGTCAACCACTGGGCGGGGGCATTCACGGACTTCCTGTGGCCCGAGAACAGAGTGGCGTGGATGCCCCTCACCATCTTAGCTGGCGGTCTCCTCTCATCAGTTCTGCTGATGAGATCTCGCATCTTGATCTTCCCCGGATCCTGTGTGACCTCACGGTGCGTCCTTACCCCTGGATCTCTGCTCACTCCAGTTCTCAGGCCTGGCTCCTCCAAGCACCTAAGGCTCTAGTCATCTCAGTGCAGCCTGACAATGGGCGTGGGAGTGGAAAAGCCACGTGGAGTCTCTGTGGGCCTGAGTGCCTCCGTTGGTGACAGCAGACCCAGATACAGGCCTGGAGGATGGTTGCACCTCCCAAGCTCTCAGCCCAGGCACCACCCCCATCCTGGGACAGAGAGGGCACCGGGAGGCCCTGAGATGGGCTGGGTTAGGACATGGGCAGTTACAGACACGGTAAGTGCAGGGTCATGGGAGCCTGGGGACCCTGACCCCACTTTGCAGGTACTGGGGACATGAGGTCTAATAAGAGCCCGGACCATTCCATCATTCTGTGTCATGGTTACGTATGGTGCTGCTCTGCTAGGGTGTCCCGGGATGAAACAGATGAGGCCTGGGCCCCCCATGGGGAGAGGTGGCATGCCCTGGGGCATCAGGAGGATGCTGGAGCCTCAGACTGCCTCACAGGCGCCTCACACCTGTGTCTAGCTTCTGGACTTGGGCCTGGCCTCTGTTCCCTGGACCTGGTTAGGGAAAGTCACAGAAGGAACAGGCACAGGGCAAAGGTCTCTGACACTGGAATCCTGGCCAGTTGAGGCACAGCCTGTGGCTTCCTTGGGGCCCTCCAAGATGCATGACGCATGCTCCTGGCCCAGCTGCTGCCCCTGAGCTTGCAACATCTGGTCGTGAGGTCTTCACCACCAGGCCCCGCATAGGGAGACTGGCTGGTCACAGAGACGCAACCTTCAGGGCCACTGTGCGCCGTCTGACTCTGCTGCTGTGCTGGGCTCGTCCCTCAGCACATAGATGCCTGGGGCGTCGGCTCGAGGCTGCCTCACTGTGGAAGCATCTGTTATCCTGAGAACGTTCACAGGTGGTATTTTTTTGTTTTGTTTTCGAGACTGAGTCTTGCTCTGTCACCCAGGCTGGAGCGCACTGGTGCCATCTTGACACTGTAGCCTCTGTCTCCCCAGTAGCTGCGATTACAGGCGTGTGCCACCATGCCTGGCTAATTTTTGTATTTTTAGTAGAGACTGTTTCACCATGTTGGCCAGGCTGGTCTTCAACTCCTGACCTCAAGTCATCTGCCCGCCTTGGCCTCCCAAAGTGCTGGGATTACAGGTGCGCACCACCACACCTGACCTTATTTTTGTATTTTTAGTAGAGATGGGGTTTCACCATGTTGGCCAGGATGGTCTAAGTCTCTGACCTCGTGATCCACCCACCTCGGCTTCCTGAAGTGCTGGCATTACAGGTGTGAGGCACCGTGCCTGGCCTCCAGATGGCGTTTTTAAGGTGGTTGGTCCACACGCAGTTGAGCTGAACACAAATGCATGTGCTCACCACCGACATCAGGCCGAGGGCTGACCTCATTCAAGTCAGCTAATCTCTTTTTTTTTTTTTTCTGAGATGGAGTCTCGCTCTGTCGTCCAGGCTGGAGCCCCTTGCTGAGCTGCCCTGGGGGCACCAGGTGTTGGACAGATGCAAGACTCAGGGGCTGGTTCTGAAAGGCCTGTCAGCTGTGTCTGAGTTTCAGGCCCGTTGGTCACCATGGAAGAACTGGACAGAGCCTACTCTGCCACTGCTGGGGATCGAAGGGCTGGAGGGGGCAGGTTGGGGCCAGCACAGAATGGGGATGGGCAGAGGGTTCGAGAGCTGCCCAGAGGCTGGGTCGACAGGTGGGGCTGGGAGGGGCCGAGGCGGCTTGGTGTTTGCACACTGGGGAACTGTGGGTCCTGGCCTAGTGGGCAGTGGTGCCTGTGGGACCCTGGTCATCTGGGATGGCCTGGCTCTCAGGGCCTGAGGGAGTGAGGCCGTATGAGTGGGGTCTCATCGGGGCCAGAGGCAGACTGAGATTGTCTGCTCAGCACTGGGTGCTGTGAGCACAGGCAGGTGAGGGAGTGAGGTCACACTGCTGGAAGGAGGAGGAGTATTGTTCCCAGCTGGCTGAGGCTGCACCGGCTGGCTGCTGAACCATTGAGATGAGGGTCACTGCTGCTGTACCCACACACCAGGGTGAGCATGGAGCCAAATGTGGGTCAGCTCTTCCTTTCCTGGTCATTGTTACCATGGCTTCTAAGTGAGGAATCTTCTGGCGAAGTGACAGAGGCCCCGGCAGGGACACTGTTTGCAGGCTGCGCAGGCGTGAGGGCTGCTCTGTCAGTGGGTGGCAGAGATGGCTCTGAAGCTAGGCCGGGCCCAGTGGTGGCCACAGGCAGTAGCCCAAGAAGCCCCCGGCCTGGCCATGTGGTGAGACCCTTGCCCACATCTGGGCAGGCCAACGCTGCTGAAGACCAGTTTTTTTGTTAGGAAAAAGTGGGAGAATACATTCACAAGCTTCGAGACACGTAAGCAGTGTGTGAGTGGTGTTCAGTGGACAGTCTCCGTGTGTGGCTTCACGCTGCCTGCCGTCACCTCATCTGCATTTCTTGTGGGTTTGGACTTTTTTTTTTTTTTTTTTTTTTTGAAACTGTGTCTTGCTCTGTTGCCCAGGCTGGAGTGCAGTGGTGCAATCTCAGCTCACTGTAACCTCTGTTTCCCAAGTTCAAGTGATTCTTGTGCCTCAGACTCCCAAGTGGCTGGGTTTACACAGGTGTGAGCCACCACACCTGGCTAATTTTTGTATTTTTAGTAGAGACAGGGTTTCACCACGTTGGCCAGGCTGGTCTCAAACTTCTGACTGCAAGTGATCTGCCCTCCTCGGCCTCCCAAAGTGGTGGGATTATAGGTGTGAGCCAGCACACCTGGCTAATTTTTGTATTTTTAGTAAAGAAGGGGTTTCGGCCGGACGTGGTGGCTCGCCTGTAATCTCAGCATTTTGGGAGGCCAAGGTGGGTGGATCATCTGAGGTTAGGAGTTAAAGACCATCCTTGCCAACATGGTAAAACCCTGTCTTTATTAAAAAAAAAAAAAAAAAATGGTTCGCCATGTTGGCCAGGCTGGTCTTGAACCCCTGACCTCAAATGATCCACCGTCTTGGCCTTCCACACTGCTGAGGTCACAGGCGTGGGCTGCCTCGCCCGGCCTGGACCATTTCTTTATGGAGATGTGTGGCTCCCTGTTCTCTCCTCCTCCCGTGTCTTCTCTCAACCCCTGGAGGCCTTTTTCTGCTGAAAACCCTGTGTAGATGGAGGCACCGTCGAACCAGGCTGTTATTCCCCGGGTCTCTGAGGAAAGCCTGGAGCCCCCAGGCCACCCCCATTGCTTCAGTCAAAAATGAGTCTCAAACTCTCACCTCTGTCTCCTCAGGATGTTGTGGAATCGAAGAACAGCACCATTAAGGACCTGCAGTATGAGCTGGCCCGGGTCTGTAAGGTACAACTCCCTCGGCGCCAGCCTGTTCTAAATGCAGATGCTCTCTGAGCACCCCACTGGTGCCCACTTTGTACCTCGTTTGACAAGGCAGCTATCACTGTCCCCACGTGAGGGTGCAGTCATGGCTGAGGGCAGCTGGATTCTGTTGGTTTGGGGCACAGCACTGTCATCTAGGCCATGTATCTACTGGGATGGATGTGGGGGCACCTGGACCCTTCCCTGGTCAGCCCCTTCCTCTGGGTAGGGAGGGCGTGAAGAACCTGAGGGAGGAATGTCCACCCAGGGGCCAGAGCAGAGCCAGGGGCAGAGCCTCTCAGACCACAGCTCTCCCCGAGTGTCTTTGCCTTCTGCCTCTGTGTCCTCATTTGTGGAATGGGAATAGTGATGGCCTCTCCCTGTGTGACACCTGAACGGGGTGATGTCTCCCACACAGGAAATGACTTTGGCTTTATCCTTTTACACTGTGAGGCTCACGATGCTTGCCCCTCCACGGAGCTGCACTCAGCTCCGGTGGGCCTTGGCGTGGGGACCCTGAGCTCCGGTGGGCCTGGGTGCAGGGACCCTGAGCTCTGATGGGCCTGGGCGCAGGGACCCTCAGCTCCGGTGGGCCTGGGCGCGGGGACCCTCAGCTCTGGTGGGCCTGGGAGTGGACCCTCAGCTCCCTAACGCTGCCCTGTCCCCACAGGCCCACAATGACCTGCTGCGCACGTACGAGGCGAAGCTGTTGGCCTTCGGGATCCCTCTGGACAATGTGGGCTTCAAGCCCTTAGAGACAGCTGTGATCAGGCAGTCAATAGGCCAGGGCCCTGCGGGACTGGTGGGCACCCCCACGTAGCTGCCCCTTTGGGGGGGCACAGCCCCCAGAGCCAGCCTCGGAACTCTCTCTAGATGACACCCACTTTCACACCAAGGACAACAAGTGTTTTAGATTTCATCATCAGCAAATGAAAGCTTTTCACGTGTTCTTCCATCGTCTTGCCTGGCTCCGTGGACAGAACTGCCTGCAGGACCCTCACCCATGGCGTCCCCGCCACTTCCTTCACTGGGTGCATGTCCAGCCTGTGCCTGGGCCTGCTCCCTGGGCACCTCCAACCACAGACAGCAGGACCTTCTCAGAGGGCCCTGCGCTCACCTGGGGCTGGGCACAGTGTGCTGCCTGTCTTCACGCCATTGTTGTCCCAACGACTGGACGGCTTTGTGGGTGCTGGCAGTGACTTTATTGACGCCTGAGTCACAGCTGCCCGCTGGGAATCTGCAGGACTTCCCTAGGAAGTGGGTGACCCTGGTGTGCCCTGATGAGCACGAGGCCCACTCTGTTGAGGTTGGGGGGTGGGCACAGCCCAAGTGCGGGAAGGGGCAGGTGGCCTGCTGCTGCCGGGCTTGGCTCTAGCTCCCTCGGTAGGTGGTGTAGGACCAGGGGCTCAGCAGCAGGGGCACGTGGAACTTCTGGGCCTCGCTGGGGATGGTGAAAACAACCTGAGGCGGAGAAGGCCGGGGAGAGGGTAAGGGGGCGGCAGCAAATTGGTTGTCTAGCCCCACCGTGCCTGGGAGAGCTCAGCAGCCGACTGCGGGTCTGGGATGGGGTGAACCCTCCCCACCAGAGGGACATTCCTCACAAGCTACAGCCCTGAGCGCAGCCACAGCCTGACAGGGCAGATGATTCTGTGCGGCCGCAGTGCAGGCTGAGGCAGGTCAGGCACAGAGCTGGAGGCGGCTCAGGTGAAAACCTCTATCAACCGAGGGGATGAGTCACCCTGGCCCAGTCTCCCCACAAAGCCTGACCCTGGGCAGGTCAGCGATGGGTGTGTCCTACAGAGTCTTCCTGCCTGGAAACCTTTCTTTTGGGAGCTCAAAGCAAGTGAGCTCACCCACCTACCACCATCCAGGACCAGTCTGCCCACTGCCTAAAGGATGCCGGCCAGCAGGACCTGACCTGCCGGTCCCAGTGAGTCACAGACCTCAGCCCTCCAGTGCACCAGGGCGCTCACCTCCACGTATGGGTAGAAGCTTTCCTGCCCCCTCTTCCTCCAGTAGGCCGCAGTGTCGAAGGTGAGCTTGTAGGTGCCTGCCTTCATCTGGTCCTGCGTCAGGAGTCCAGGGCAGCGGCCATCTGGGTCTGTGTAGCTGAGGAGAGGATGAGGGTACAGAGGGAGATGAGGAGCTCCCCACCCCAGCTTTCCTGGGTCTGCACCCCACCTGGCAGACGAGCAGACACAGTGGGACTTGGCCTGCAGCTCCAGAGCAGTCAGGACCCCACAGCACTGTCTTTAGGGAATCAACACAGAGAAGAAAAAGGGAAAAGGCTCCCATAATTTACCCCATGAGCAGTGACCACCGTAGAGCTGGCATGTATTTTTCCAGATTTTCTCTAGGCATATTTGTTGACAAACAACTCATCAAATGGATTATGCTATTTGTATTATTTTATAAGCTGTGGTTTTCACTGAATATATTGTGTGTGGCTTTCTGGGTCAATAACTACCACACCCTCACCACAGGGTGGGCCTGTCCACTGCACGGAGCACACCCGTCGTGCGCCCTGGTGCCTTGTCAGGGTCCTGAACGCCTGTGGCTCTGCCCACAGTCACCTCCGGAAAACCTCACATCGTTCTTGTCAGCTGGTCTTTAAAGTGTGCGCTTCTGCTGTGATGAGAGAGAGCAGGCTGGGTGCAGTGGCTCCTGCCTTTAATCTCAGCACTTTGGGAGGCCATGATGTCAGGAGTTCAAGACCATCCTGGCCAACACGGTGAAACCCCGTCTCTACTAAAAATACAAACCAACCAGCCAGGTGTGGTGGTCCTTGGCTGCAATCCCGGCTACTAGAGAGACTAAGGCAGAGAATTGCTTGAACCTGTGGGGTGGAGGCTGCAGTGAGTTGAGATTGTGCCACTGCACTTCAGCCTGAGTGACAGAGCAAGATGCCATCTCAAAAAAAAAAAAAAAAGGATAGCATGTGAGTATATGGGGAACCTCCATGAGACGTGTAGCCCGAATGGTGCTCCCCTAATCCTCAGGTGGGACCTGGAGGAATTAGTGCCATAGCCTTTGTGAAGGGTCAAATGAAGATGTAGGAGTGGCACCGGCACACCCTGATCCTGTGGGCCCAGCCCTGCCCTTCTGGCTGGAAGAGAGGGGCCTGCATCCCACGCAGGGGCCATAAGGCCTGGGGGGGGGTGACACCCACCTGGGAAGTGCCCTCGGAGCCTGTGTCTGAGGCAGTGGGCAAGGCCCCATGGAGGCCGAGGGGCTCGGTGCCCTCAGGCCTGGCTGGGAATCCCAGCACGGACCTGGGCTTGCTGTAGCAGGAGTAATCATGGTGCTGGCCTCAGGGTGTATGGAGAATGGAAAGAGCAGCGTCCAGCTACTGCCTGGCACAGGGCTAACAGACAGTGAAGTCTTCCATTTCCCCTCAGGGCTCACCTAACCCACCCCTCCATCCCCGCACAGCTGCCAGGAACCGGCAGAAACGCTCCCATCCCATCAGGCCTCAGTGCCCTGAGGTTGGAGGTGGGAGGAAACCGCACCTCTCCTCATTTCCGTATTTTCAGAGGAGGAAACGGGCTGACAGCGGCAGGAGGGAGCCCTGCGCCCCTCCCCGCACCCTGTGGGGAGTGGAGGGTCAGCAGCGGTCAGCGCTGCTCTCCAGCCTCACTGCCTGGCTCCCTGGCCCCTGCCATCTGTCTCAGGCAGGACCCCCTCCTCCCAGCGTCTCGCGCCTACCTGGTCCTCAGCTCCATCCACTGCTGGCTGTGGTCCTCCAGCCGGGACAAGCAGAGGCAGAGGCCTCTGGCTGGGACCCCGGAGGCGGTATCCAGCACATGGGTGGTCAGTGGGCTGCCCAGGGGCTCCATGCTGCTGCGCTAGGCCAGGAGAAGGAGGCCAGGGTGAGCGTCTGGGGCCCTGTGCCCACCCGCCCCAATCCTGCGTCCACACCCGCTGTAAGGTGTAAACAGCCCTCCGGACAGTCCTCCCAGTGCCCAGGGGACAGGGGGCAAGGGTCACTGGAACTGCCTAGTCAGCTGAAGAGGCTCCAAACGTCAGCAGCAGACCCGGGCCTCCCGACCCTTCCCGGCCAGTCCCCCGCTGCCCCGCCCCACTGGGGACCCCGTCTCCCACCCACGCCCCCCACGAAAGGGCCATCGTCCCCCAGCCCCTCCGGTCTCTGGGCTCTCTCCTCCGCCCCCTTTCCTGGGTCCTGGACGCTCAGCCCCGCCCTAGGCAGCTGAGGGGACAGGAGCCCGGCATGTCCAGGCCTGGCCCACTAACCTCCGGGGGGCCCAGGTGTCGCTGGAGCCGCAGCAGCCGCGGGGCGGCCCCGGAGCTCATCCTGCCCCACCGACTGCGACGCCCGCGGGAAGAGGGAACGGTGGGGCCGTCACCCCGCCCCGGACCACCTCGTGCCCACCAGGAGGGCCCCGGCGGGGCTTTGCCCAGGAAGGGGCGCTGGTGGAGAATCGGGTGCACAGACCTGGAGCCCGGAGCGGAGTCGAGGACAGGGGGGCGGGGCGGGCCCGGGGGCGCGGGGCGGGGTCGGGGGCGGGGCCCGGGGCGGGGCGTGCCGGCCTCGGGGCGGGGCCGGGGGCGGGGCGGCCTCAGGGCGGGGCGGGGCGTGCCGGCCTCGGGGCGGGCCAGCGGGTGGGGCGGGATTGGGGTCCGCGCCGGGTTTGGAGGCCCGCAGTTTGTCATGGAAGCCCCTTACGGGCAAGCACGGTTAAGATTAGCCGAGACAAAGGGACTTGACCCAAGTCAGGTAAGAAGTTTTATTCACCTGCTGGGCTGCCCCGTCACCGTCAGAGGAGGCAGCCCCGAGCTTACACAACGAGGGGTGTATACAGGGTTAGTGGGGCGAAAGGGAGTTTCGGGGCCGACATAATCTATCAGCTTGGAACAGGTACGCAGGTCGTTTTTCAGCTTTTGAGAGACTTACATTATTCTGTGACTTTTGTGGCGGCAGTTTAGAAAAAGCCAGGACGTGTCAACGGGAATTTGAAGGAAGGTTTGTTTTCCCATGGCCGCCCCAGGCGCCCAGGTGGCTGCATTCAGGCTTTGCCCAATCGTAGCAGGTCCGGCAGCTTTGCTGTGGCGCCTAGGTAGGAATGCAGCTGCAGAGCAATCAGAGTGGGGGTTCAGCTGCCCTCGCGTTCTGGCGTTTTCATAGGTAATGGAAGAGGGGCTGCTTCTTGCTGGATGGGGCACGTTGGTTTGGGAGGCTACATTGCACGGGTTGTCGTTCCAGGAGCGGCTGGTGTTCTCGGAGCGGCTTCACCTCTTGTATTTCTCCATGGGCGAAAGCTTTAACAGGGTCCTGTAAAAACTGGGTGAGGGGTGGCAAGAGGCAGGGGCCCAATGCTAGAAGGAGGACGGGGTTCTGGCGGGGCCCACGAGGGGCCGTAGCCGGGGCGCCCAGGAGTCTCGGAACCACTGGAGGCAGGTGGGATGACCAAGTTTTTGTGCTCGGTCACTGAGTTTTTTACAGCACCCTGCACTAGCCCTGATTCATTGAGGTAGAATCAGCATTGTCCATTTAAAAATAGGCATAAACCTTTCTCAGCAGTGAGGAGGTCTAGACCTCTGCAGGTTTGTAGGGTGAATTCTGCTGTAGAGAGTCTAGTTGGTTTCGGGCGTAAGAGTCTGTTTCTTCTCGTGACGATTGGAAGTCTCCGGAGAGTGACCGGAAATGTGGTAACTAGGTTCTCAGGCGTCCGGCTCCTGACCCAACACTGGTGGTGACTCCGAGGGCTAGAAATAAGGGAATGGACAGTATGGGTCTTTTTGGGCAGGCATGTAATATAGCAGGGACAGGGAGTTCTTGGCTTGGAGGACAAGCCTCATGTCGGGGGCAAGGCAGACCAGGGCGCGAGTGCCTGTCCAGTGGGCTGTGGACCCACAGAGGAAGAAGGTGCCCGCCGTGTTAACGCAGACAGACCAGTGGATTGAGACTAGGTGTTGGAGTGCCTCGTTTCCTCATTTGGAGAGACTAGGATCAGCTTCAGCAACTCAGAGTGAGGAGGAGAGAGACCCCTTGGAGGCAGGAAGGGAGGTAATGCGGGGGCTGGGCAAAGAGGCCGTTAGCTTCAGGGAGAACTGAGTAATTACCCCGGGTGAGGGATGGGAGATGGTTTTAGTTGCGCCACAGGCGGAGGGAGGGATCGTGCCTGCCTGTGTGTCTGTTGGACGAGGCGACACTTAAGGATGGGACCTTGGATGGCAGAGTGAGGGAGCTTTGTGCGGTTGTGATGGGCAGTGTATGTGAGAGAAGCTTGGTAGCTCTGTGAGCAAGGGCGGTGGGATGGTTCCCGGTGACGGCGAGGGCTTTGTCTGCAAAGGCAGAGCCTTTTTGGGCAGTGTATGAACATCGAATGGGAACGTGGTTCCAGGGCTGAGAATTTGGGGTGGCTGAGCAGGCTTTAGAGGAAAGGGAAAAGCAGGTCCAGCCCTGGGAAGCAAGCGTGGAGTTGGAGTGCAGTAACAAGGAGTCAGCGAGATTGAGAGATCGATCCAGGCTTGCAGAATAAGAAGGGACTCTGAGGGAGCAGAGGCAGTCGGGCTGGCGATTGGAAGAGCTAGGGACTTGAGGAAGTTCTGGGGGAAAGAGTTGGGAGGGTCTGTGAGGTGGCTGATAGCGTCCCATGGATAGTCAAATTCTCCTTATGGACGAGGGAGGAATAGGTAAGTTAAGACCTTTTTTTGTGTGGGAATGGGGAGAGAGGAGAGGGCTTTAATATTTGTTATGCTGTGGGGAGAGGCTGTTCCCGTCTCGAGGGCCTTGGCACCTGGAGCAGGGGCAGAGGGGACATATGATGAGTTACCCATCATGGGTCTTTTTCGGGGACGGGCTAACTTCTTCTAAGGTGGAGTTTGGTTGGACTAAGGAGGGTGCTGGAGAATTGGCAGAGGATGGCAGTGGGCGGGTCAGTGGGTGCTTCAGGGGCTCTTTTTAATCTGGAAAGGTGGCACCAAGAGACATGCCCTGAGAGTTTAGCTGCGGTGGGGGTTGTGAGAGGCACTTAAAAGGGACCTTCCCACTTTCTGTTGAGGAGGTTTTAGAAAGACATGCTGGTAGGAGGGCCTGCACGGGGCTTTGGGAGGGCCTGGTTTACTTGTTCATGGAGAAGAAGGTGGATGAGGGAAAGTTTTGGGAGGTAATCTCCTTGCTGACAGCTAGAAGGGGCCTGTTTTGTGAAAGCAAAGGCTGTCCATACATTAACTCAAATGGGCTGAGGGAGGAGGGTACTTTCGGGCTGGCTCTGATGCGGGCTAGGGCTGTGGGCGGAAGGGAGGTCCAGGGTTTCTGTACTTCAGGAGTGAGTTTGGTTAACTGAGTTTTAAGGATCCCATTTGCCCTTTCAGCTCTTCCTGATGCCCGGGGACAGTGTGGATGTGGAGGCACCACTGCACGCTGAGGGACTGAGGGACCTGTCGGGTGA